CCCCAAAACCCCAAAACCCCAAAACCCCATAGGAATAAATAATTTGACTATTTCTTTGATGAAGAAACTAAGAAATAAATAAATACATAATTTCATTAGGTGATTAAATAAAATGTGACATCATCAGGAAAGTAATATTTAATATTAAATGTCAAAAGCAAAGAAGGTCAATTAGTAGAAAAATCACTAAGACTCGAGTATTGGAACAGAGGAAACCTACGAGTTGAGAAATGTTGGTATTCAAACAGCTCAGCAAACTAAGGACTACATTAGCCCTTAGATGGTTAGTCATCATAATTTGGAGAAGTACGATTACAACTCTATTTTCTACACTCCAAGGACAGTCTCATCAATGGTATTCGCATTATTCGTATTGAACTATTTCGCATATACCCTAGTCCCCTTAAATGATGCCTCAGATATCAATGCAGATTAACCCAAGGATGGATTTAAGTATACCTCAAAGATGTAAGTTTTGCTAATATCTAAAGCATATAGTGGTATTATTGCAGGTATTTTCTCATTTTTAGCCTTTTGCTCTACCTAATATCCAGACACTCTGATCAAGAGACCCCATCCAGTCTTTTGGAGAGTACTACTAGGTTTGATGTCTATCTACAACCTCTTTATGGTCTACTTACTCTTCCAACCACTTAATGAAGGCAGAAAGGTGTTTAAATTCTTTGACCCAAAACTAGGAGAGAAGCTACCAGAGAAATCATATGCAGCTGACTGCAGAATTTTCACTCCAGAAAATCCCAATAGCTCCATGTTTAATGTCTATGACGCAACCTTCGATGTCCATTTCATTGCTCATTTGTTTGGCTGGTGGTTCAAGATGATGATTATCAGAGATGTAAAGATGTGCTGGATCTGCAGTATTGTATTTGAACTCCTTGAGATCACTTTCAGACATTGGCTTCCTAACTTCTGGGAATGCTGGTGGGATCATGTAAGATCATACTCATTTAACTAATGCAAATATAGTTACTACTAGACTTGTTTGGATGTAATGCCCTAGGTATTGTTCTTGGTGCTTACACTTGCAACTATCTTTACGTTGGCAGACTTCACTGGATTTATACAAAGAATAGCATTACTCAATAAAACCCATGTGAGAGCAAAGTCAAGGTATTCTTTGAGAAATTCAAGCCAAATGTTTGGGCCAAATATGATTGGGGTTTCTTCAGTAGTCCTCAAAGATATCTTTCGGTTTTATTCTATTGCTTCTTCGTCTTGGCAGTTGATTGCAATAACTTTTTCCTTAAATTCATTATATGGATCCCCCCTGAACATAAAATCTTGCAAGTCAGACTTGCCATCTGGGCATTCTCGGCTATTGCTGCCACTAAAGAATACTATGAATATGTATCTAATCCATACTGCAAAAGAGTTAGTCCTTTCCTGTGGTTGACTTGCTTTACTTTATTAATTGAGTTCTCTATTATCATCAAATTCGGTACTCAAATGTTCACGGCACCCTTCCCTTGGTATGTCAAACTTATGTGGTCAGTTATAGGCTTCTTTGTATTGTGTGGATATATTTATGCTTATAAGAATGATATCAAAAATAATTCAAAAGATAAAAAGGAGAAAGATGCAAGAAAATATCAATTAAACGATCCAGTAATCGAAATCGAAAATATTAGCAAGAAAAACCAATGAAAATTTGCATATATTGTACACCTATGATAGATAATTATTTAACTTATTTCCAATTTTTAAGATAATTTTTATTCACGGGGTTTTGGGGTTTTGGGGTTTTGGGGTTTTGGGG